GACCATGGGGATATGTTATAGGAATGTCCGTGTGAGTGGGAAGATCTGTATCATTTCAGGGCCTCATCACTTTGTTTTTATTCGTTTTTAGTTTGTACTAAATGTCACCATTTTATTCTGGTTTAATCCCTGTTTAGTGAAGTTGGTAAGACAGGCAGTCTGGTGTTCCAAGAGGAGAAGGGGTGGCAGAGTTGTGCTTTAGGTGGGTGGGGGGCAAAGTCGCTCTCCTCAAGGACTGGCTGTGCCTCGTCTGGCTGTTCCCACAGGCTCAAATCCAGCCTCTGCTCTCCCTCACCCTTTCTATTTATTTATTTTCACAAGTGATTTTCTGTAAGTGGAACAGCTCCTATTTCAAAGACAGAACAAACTGCTGCTGAGCCCTGTGCTGGCTGTGTTGCTGGAAGTACCCCAGAGGCCTGTGTGGATTTGGAGCTGGTGAGGTTAATGGATGCCCTTTCTGTGCTGGCTTTTTTCCCTGTCTCCTCTTGTCCTTGGGATGCTTGGTGTCTGTGCAGTCCCAACAAACAGAGCCATATGTATTTACACACACAGGGCTGCAGTGCCTCGACCTGCCTCGGGTTATCCACTGTGTTCCAAGGGCACCTTGGGAGTGAGCACAGAAATTGAGGATTCGGGCACTGACAGATCACTGGGAGTAGCTGCAGTGCAGAGAAAAGTCACTTTGCAACTGCTTGTGAAATGGTGCCCAGATTGAAGGTGTAGAACTGAAACTGTGTGGAGCAGGGGATGAGGTGCTATTTTTATAGGCCAGATTTATATGAAGAACATCTGGGTAAAACTCAACACAGAGACACCAGACTCTAGGACAGATGATTTTTTTTAAATGAGGCTGTTTCCTGGAACTGGGGAACATCCAGTTTCTAAGGAACAGCTTTTCACAGTGGTCAGCTTATTCAGTCATGGCTACTTCACATGGAAGGAGGGAGAGGATTAATTTGGAAGTTTTCAGCTCACTGTGCTGGGAGGGACCAAACTCAAGGAAACCTCTGATCTATATACACAACTGCTGCATTTTTTATAAATATATGTAAATGTCCTATTGTAATATTTGATCCTGGAAATAAAACCAACTGTTTTCAGTAGCTTTCTTCAACTTTTGGTTTTTTGGGGTTGGGGTTTATTTGTTGCTTTAGTTCTAATGGAAGTCTGTCCCTTTGTTATTTGTGGAGTTCCTAAGTTTTTCCTTAAGGATACTGGGCTGGAAGGATAAGGAGCTGTAGATGACAGCGTTTCCCAAGAAAACTTCAGGCTGTTGTAGAGGATAGAAAATCTTGAAGCGAGACAAACTAACAGGACCTTGACAGGAAAAATACCTGTATGAAAACTGATAAAAGGAGGCAGGGCTAGGATTTCCCATCCTTCTCAACAAAAGAGCAGAGGAAATGGAGCTTTCTGTTCTGATCTGTCAGTGTCCTCCTGGTAAGGTGGTGGCAAGGCAGAGCCTCTGACTTGTGCAGTTGGGACGTTCCTGTCGTGGCCTGGCATGAAATGCCGAGGAGCAAGGGCCCTTCTGGACCAGGACTTGGCAGATGCAGTGGAGAAAGAGAAATTAAGAAATCAATTTTGGGTCATTCTTGTGTTCCTGACTGTAGGTAAGTCTCCACTGCGGAGCTCAGCCCCTGCCACGGTCTTGAAGCTGGAAAACCCTGAACTCTTCACGCAGCCTAGGAAAATATTCCCAGTTCCAACTGAGTCGGGAATCTTTTTACATCAGTCTGCAGGTCAGAGAACTACTGGGATACCTGAAACTCAAAATACCTCTTGGGTTTCATTTACTTATTTTTCCAGTCTGTAAACTTCCAGCTTTTCATGGGGTTTATCTGAACTGTAAATTCAGGTGACATTTGTAAGCCCTAAAGGGGATATTGTCCAGCATGGTGTTAGTGTTTCCTCAGTCAGTTCTAGCCACAAACACCCTGCAGGGCTTGTCTAAGGGGATTTTGGAGAAGTCTTGGCTGAGTAGTGGCACAAACAGATTTGCAGATGCTAAGAAGGGGAGTGGGAGAGACCAGAGGGGTGCTGAACATCTTCCATCCAGGACCAAGGTGAGGCTGCTTTGGCACAGAACGTTTCCTCCTCACCAGTTCAGACTCGCCTCAGTCTCTCGGTTCTCCTTGAAGCCAACCCACTCTAGAAACCCAACCTGCTGTGCAGTTTCCCAGCCCCAAAGGAGTCTCCTGGTGGAGCAGGGAGGTGAAGGCACCTCTTCAGCCACGGGGGACCTTGCCAAGCTGGAATTGCGTTAGGTGAGACCACGTTTGGCTGCACCAGGACTGGGTGACTTGGCGGTAAATTCCTTGCCCATAATTGCCATGCTGGCACTTTCACAGTTGAAATCTGGTGTGGGAAAGGCAAGCACACAGCTCCTCATGTGCAAGGCAAAAATTAGCCTTCTATTAGGGTTATTCTTATAAGGAAAAGATCAGCAGTCCAGGGAAGAGTGTCACCCTGACGCTTCACACTTCCTGGCGTGGGGTTTTCTGTGGGAGATGATGGAGCAGATCATGTGTGTGGTGGGAACCTCAGATTGCTGTGACGTAGGAAAGGCACAAGATGAGGTTGCAAAACTTTTTCTTGCAGCAGAGTGAAAAATGGGTTCCCCTCTTTCTAAGTGAAAAAGGAAAGGAAAAAGGAAGGAGAACTTGGACTCTGCTTCTCCTGCATGCATTGTCTGTCTTCATTCTGGAGACTGATTTGTCCCATTTAAGGATGAAATACCCTGAGGTTAACTCAGGTGCTGGAGCCCAGTGCTAAGGATGCTGAGATCTCAGGTTCAATCCCTGCACTCACTCCGGAGCTGGACTCCATGATCCTGCTGGGTCCCTTCCCCCTCAGACTGTTCTGAGATTCTGTGACTAAAATGGGAATTCCTCTCCTGATGCCAGCTCTGATTTTCCTTTCAGAGGCACTGTCTGATAATCTGCTCCTCAGTTTATTTTTGCAAGAGGAATGGAATTGCCTGCTGTAACTCGGCCTCACTCATTCATCTTTTCCCATGTGGCTCTTGGAGGGCTCCCAAAACCCTTCTTTGAGAAGGTTCTTTGTGCCTGCACAGCCCACAAGCCATTCTTCTCTTTGCTTTTGCCACCTGCAACTCTTCTGCCAACAAAACTGTCCCATTTTTGCCATTTTTTTTTTTTTTGTGCTACCAAGTGCTGATATCTGATGACTTATAATAATGAAGATATCCAGAAATAACTTTCCTCTCTCAATCTTATTACCAAGGCATGAGACACACACATGGTGTGGATACACTCAGCACCTGAGGAAAAGGTGACACGCCTGTGAGGACGCAAAGAGTGGGAGGTAGGAGCCAGTTGACACAGGGGAATGTTTATTCCAAAGCTTTTATTAAGTATTAGAGAGGAAACATTATCCCAACAGGTTCTTCCAGGAGCAGCAGCGTTCACTACTCAGGCACTGGTTGAGGCTTTTAGTGCAGATGTGGTAGAAGCCTTAAAATCTGAGGTTGTGCCTGATTTGGTGAACTCTGTCCGTGTAAATTCTGAAATGGGGAAGGGCAAGGCAGAGTGGCTCATCCAGCCACTCATCCTCTCCTGGGATGGGGACAGGGACAGAGGGTCATGGTCTGGTGGGCGGCCCGTGGGGGACAGGGTGGGAGGGGAGCACAGGCTGAGGTGTCATAAATAGTCACCCATGGGTGATCCTCTGGGACAGGGCTCAGCCAGGGCTGGACGCTGCTGCTCTGCGTGGCACCGCTCCAGGTAAGCTGGGGAGTGGGGAGAAGTTCCCTGGGCTGTGCTGGAATCTCTGTGCTTTGGGTCATGGAGGTGTGCTGGCAGAAGGGGGTCCTGCTTTGGACACGGGATGGACACAGGACCACCTGCACTTTGGTTTGCCTGCCCTGCACTGGGGTTTGTCTGTGCTGGCCGAGGAGCTGCTTGCTCAGGGGGATTGGTTTGGAAGGGACAGCGTGTCCTGGGAGCTTCCCAGGGGAGAGACCTGCTGCCATCCCCAGGGGTGGGCAGTGGTGGAGGGGAAGGAGAGTGCTTGGAGAGCTGGAGGGGAGATGAGCAGACAGGCTCTGCTGCTGCGAGCCCAGGCTGTGAGCTCAGAGGAGCTGCAGCTGTTCCAGAAGGTGGTGGGACTCGGCAGAGGGCACTCATGGCTGTGCCACACGATCCCTGGACTGCAGGCAGGGCCTCACTGCGGCCAAGAGGCCCTTAATTCCCTGTAACCAAGGCAGGGAGGATGGAAATCACGACAGGTGGGATTCTAGGATGTGTGGAGCTGATGGTCTCCCCCAGGTGTCTCAGAGCCCCGTTCCTCCATGCTCAGCCTTCCCCAGTGCCCTGCTGGGACTGGTGTGGCCGGTCCTGAGCTGACCCTGCAGGACTGGTGCCCTCCAGCCCCTCGGGCTGTGCCAGGCTGGATGTGCTGCCCTGGCCGCTCCTCCCCTGCACTGAGGCCCTGCAGGAGGGGCTGAGCAGCTCTTCCCACAGAGCCAACCGCAACGCCAGAGCGAGAACAAAACCAGCCAGAGCAAGAAACAGCTTCACTGGGGCACTTGTGCAAAACGGGCTGCAGCCTAGCAGGAAAGGGGAAAATGCATGAGCCAAACTTCAAGCCAAAAGAACTCAGGGTAGAGAATGGCTGGGAGCAAGGACGACAGCAAACCTGTTATTTTCAGCAGTCCCAGAGTGACCAAAGGACATCCTGTACAAAAAGGGTCTTGCAGGTGCAGAAGAGATGCAATTCTGGACAAGGTAGCACCCGGAGATGGGCAGGTGCTTTCTAGATAAACTCATAACTTAGTAAGATGCCAGTAGGACTGGAGAGTAGAAATTTACTTTCTTAATTAAATTGAATTGCTTTCAGCCTACTCAGACCTATGGTAGGTACAGGGATAGAATTGCTGTCAGATTGAATTGGAGACTGATGTGCTTTCACAAGCCTTTGTACAAAGATTTTGTCTCTTTCTTGGCTTCCTGCTGCTGGTGTAAATGCTGAAAGCCAAACTGAGCTGTGGTGGGTGGTTGGCTCCCTGCAGTAATATTTCCATAGAACCTCAGACTGGTTTTGGTTGGAAGGGACCTTAAAGGCCATCTTCCCCTGCCAGGAGCTGGGACACATTTTGGAAGAGCCACACGAGTCTTGGGGTTTGGTGTGGGAACACCAGTGCCTGTTTGGCAAAGAAGTATTACAATTTGCATTGGAAATTGCCCTCAAGTAGGGGCAGTGCCAGCAGATTGAGCTGACACCCAAAAGCACAACCCAGCAACTCCCTCCAACCCACAGCTGTGAGATGGGTTCGGGATGGGGAAACCTCGGGGCGCTGCGGGGCCAAACGCAGCCCTTTCCTCTCCTCCTCCCGTGCCCACGCAGGACAGCCATGTGCGTGGGGAAGTGCAGCCGGATCGTGGGTCCCTGCCTGCTGGTGCTGGGCACGCTCTCCACGGCAGCCAGCATCCTCCTGCTCTTCCCGGGCGGAGCATCCAAGTACCTGCTGGAGGGGCACATCAGCGGCCACGCCCGGGCCGTGCCGGGGCTCTGGGGCGGCGGCATCGCCGTGAGTACCGCGGGGCGCCCGTCCGCCGGTGGGAGCGGGGCAGAGGGATGGAGCGGGGCTCCGGAGCGGGGCAGAGGGATGGAGCGGGGCAGGGGGATGGAGCGGGGCAGAGGGATGGAGCGGGGCAGAGGGATGGAGCGGGGCTCCGGGGCGGGGCAGAGGGATGGAGCGGGGCAGAGGGATGGAGCGGGGCTCCGGAGCGGGGCAGAGGGATGGAGCGGGACTCCGGAGCGGGGCAGAGGGATGGAGCGGGGCTGCTGGCTCCCCTGTGTCCCCCAGCGGTGTTTTTGTCCCTGCAGGTGCTGCTGGCAGCGACCCACGTCACGGCGCTGGGGTGGCAGCGCTCCGGCTGCTCCGCCCGCCGCAGCGTAAGCGGGGACCGGGACCGGGACCGGGAACGGGCTGGGCAGGGCAGGGCCGGGATGTGCCCGTGCCCGCTGCTCCGTGGGGCTGCGGTGGGGCAGGGCAGGGATGTGCCCGTGCCCGTGCCCGCTGCTCCGTGGGGCTGCGGTGGGGCAGGGCAGGGATGTGCCCGCTGCTCCGTGGGGCTGCGGTGGGGCAGGGCAGGGATGTGCCCGTGCCCGCTGCTCCGTGGGGCTGCGGTGGGGCAGGGCAGGGATGTGCCCGCTGCTCCGTGGGGCTGCGCTGGGGCAGGACAGGGATCCCCGCTGCCCTGGCCCGCGGTGGGATGTGCTGAACGCCCCGGCGGGTGCTGGGTGCTGCTCTCCAGTGTGGCACGGTGCCACCCCCGCAGCTCGCTCCCCACTCCTGCCACCCCAGTGCTGCCTCCATCCCCAGCCACAGCTGGCGAGGGCAGTTTTCCCCCCCTCCCAAACTCTGCTGACGGGCTGCAGCTGCGTTTTGACCCTCCATGACTCTGCGTGTCCCCCGGTGCTCCCCGCAGGCGCTCCTCTCCGTGCTGCTCTCCAAGCTGGCGCTCCTGGGCGCCGCCGCCTGCTTCGTGCTCTGCGGGGTGGGGCTGACGAACGGCCCCCTCTGCCTCTACAACTCCTCCGAGCCCGGCCTGGGGCACGCAGCCCGCTGGGGATACCCCTTCCTGGATGCCTTGGACCAGGGGCCTGATGCCAGGTGAGGCCTGAATCAATTTATTGCTAATTAAGTGGATTAATGAAGGGGGTGGGATGGGTGCATGCGTGGTGGTTGATGCAGAACGCTGGTAGCTCAAGGAATCCTCACCTTCCATGGATTTCTACGTGGTGCTTTCCATCTTCATCGCCCTCCCACCTCCCAGCTGAAGTAATTGTAATTATCAACTAACAGAATAGACCCCAAATAAGAAGTTGCAGCGCTGTTTGCTCATTTATTACGAAGTGTAATAATCCCTTTGTGTACACTGTTCAAACCCCACTGCTCCCATTTCTTTACTTCAGATTCTTACCAACATTTCATCATATCTGAACCCATGGTTAATGTTTTATTCCACTGTTTTTGCACTGGAACATCTTGACATTAGCTTCCATGTTTTTGCTTCCAGCGGTCAGGTCAATTCTCAGAGAGATGGCAGATTTTGTTATTGCATAGGTTTCTTTCCCTCCTGTCACTATATGTGCTACAAAATAATTCTGTTCTCTTTTTAGACTCAGCCTCATGCGTAAATGTGATTCTTCTAACCTTTCTTTTTCTTGCCTGCTCCTTTCTTTTTTGCCTCTAAGCTTTTATTCTGCCCATCCTCTGAATGAAGGATGGGACGTCTGGGGGACAAGAAAGCGATGGGATTCTGGACCTGCTGCAGGCAGCATCCTGCACCTTCTCCCCCTCCTGTCCCACAGGGCTGAGAATTACCTGTACAATCGGAGAGCCTGGAGCATCTGCCTGGAGCCCGAGGGCATCGTCCCCTGGCACATCGTGCTGTTCTCCCTGCTGCTGCTCATCAGCGTGGCCGAGATGGTGCTGGCCTTGCTCCAGATCCTCAATGGCTGCCTCGGCTGCCTCTGTGGCTTCTGTGACGGCAAGTAGGGCCCGGTGGCGGTGCCAGGAGGAGGTGTCACCTCGGGTGTCACTTGGCACGTGCCACAGAGAGGGCACAGCAGGAGCTGTGACACCAGCCCAGTGCAAGAGCCCCGTGAGAGACTGAAGAGCCCCCGTGGGGGACGACACCCTGGGTGTTGGGGCAGCTGGTGGGGCTGATGTGCCCAGGGCTGCTCCTGTGCAGACGCCCTGGCCCAGGCCATGTCCCTTCCCTTGGGGCTGGTGGCCATTTGGGGTTGGGAACTGGCCCGGTGAGGGGTGGAGGGGAGGACCTCCTATCTGATCATGCAGGATATCTCCTCGAACCCAGTGTGTGTTATGAAGCTTCACGGCAGGAGGTTTGTTCCATCATGATCAGACAGATTCATTACAAGGGGGCTTCCTAGAGAACACATAAACATCACTTTTCCTAGAACCAGTTTACATTCCTCCATCCTTTCCTGGAAGTCCTCCTTTGATCCTAGAGGGTTGTCTACAGGGGTGTCTGGTGGTTGTACTCACTGAGTGCCCCACACTGTGACCTTGCCTTGAACGTCTCTCAGGGCATGAGCTGCTGTTCCTTGTTCCATCACTTTGCCACAAAAGTCACTATGTTCCTCCTTACCTGTTTCTCCACTGGTTCCAGCTGTGTTTAGCATCCCGTGTGCCTACTTTTACACTCTTTTATCTCACTTGCTAGTTAGTCTTTAAGTCCTATTTTGCAACTTCAAGGGAACTGAAAATTTCTGTTTTACACGTTGTCTGTCACTTGTCAGCCTCCACCCACCCCAGGGGAAAATGAGACGTGGTGGTGTCACAGGCTGAAGAGATGGACACTCCTGTTAATCAGTTTTGTTAATCAGCTCATATTTAGTGCACTTGAGCTGGTGTTTGTCACCAGCACAGGCCAGGACAGGTGAAGGAGCCCCGAGGAGCCGAGCTGGGGCACCACTTGGATGGAATCATGCTGGAACTGAGGTGTAACCCCAAAATTCACCCACACACAAGTGTCAGGAGCAGCTGCTGCTCATTCCCAAGAGCAGGACCCCACGCCTGTGCTCAACCCCCTCCCCATAACCTTTGCAGGACCCAGCCTGGGCCTGGGCCTGCCCGTGCTGGGAGGGGTTTGTCCCCAGACTGACAAGGGTCAGAGGAGAGCAGCGATGACCATGACACACTAAAAAGCCAAATCCCAGACCAGACAAAACATAACTGGGCCATTGGGGTGGCTGAACCCCAGCTGGCACCCAAGCACCACCCAGCCACTCACCCCCATGCCGTGGGAGGGGGAGAGAATCAGAGGGGTAAAAGTGAAACATCTCCTGGGTTGACATAAAAACACTTTAATAATTGAAATAATAAAAACAAATTGTAATGAAAAGGAAAATGTAATGAAATAATAATGAATAATAAAAAATTGTAATGAAAAAATGAAGAGAGAGAACTAAAAGCCCAGACAGACAAGTAATGCAGTACAAACATTTCTTTATCATCAGCCCAAATATAAAATCCAGCCCCATCCCAGCCACAATGAAGGAACAGGACTCTACCCCAGCCCAAACCCTCAGAGTGACTTCAGAGACATCATTGAGAAAAAGCCTTTTCATGAAAAAGAAAGAATTTAACATGATATACCATATTTATATAGTGTAACTATTTCTAACAAGAGGAGGACAGCCCTCGGGGCAGGGTGGTGGTACCACATCCCCTGAGCCAGCACACAGGGATGGCACAGGGTACCCCTGGCTGCCACTGCTGCTGTTGCCCCCCAATATCTGTTTCCAGAGGAGAGGAGAGGAGCCTGAGGCTGGGCTGGGGGCAAAAGACTCCCCACCCAAAACAGAATTAAAAAGATAGCAATAAAAATGAGATAGACCCTAGTGTGGGGACAGTAACACACCTCTGTGCTGGCCGGTGGCAGGACCCAGCCTATGGGTTGGTGCTCCAGGATCCAGCACTGGGGCGGTGTGGGGAGCTGCCCTGGGCGGGCTCTAGGAGATGAAGCAGCTCCTCCTCCTCCTCCTCTTCCCCCCGCGGCCCCGGCGGGGAGCAGCGGCTGCCAGGGGGATGTTCTGGAGCACGTCGTGCAGCGTGAACATGCTGAAGGAGATCTGCTCGTAGGGAGACCTCATCCCGTTCTCATAGAGGCAGGCGAAGGCGATGGCCGTGCCGCCGGCCAGCGGCGCGTCCCTGTAGGGCAGCTCCATGTACGCCAGGTCCGAGTAGGCGCTCGGGCCCTCGTAGATGACCCAGGGCTCTGTCCAGCTCTCTGCGTCCCTGGGGAAGGTGCTCAGGTGAACCCCCATGTTCACCCGCGACATGGAGCTGGTGGGGTGGGAGTAGAGGATCCACGTTGGTGCTTGGAAGAAGGGAGTGGGGCTGGGGGTTGCTGCAGAGTCCCCCTGGGCTGAGGTGACACTGTTGGCATCACCGTGATGCCCTGGGGTAGGACAGTCCTCATCGGGCTCGTCTGGCTCTCGGTGGTTGCCGGTGGGCAGCTCAGCCCCTCCTGCCTGGCGGGACCCCCGGAGCGCCCCAGGAAGCCGCCGGCACACCGAGCCCCGGAGGGGCAGCGCGGTGTCCCGGGAGGCGGTGGGGACGTACACGAGCGGCGCGGGGAAGCCGATGACACTGCCGTGACAGCCGTGGGGCGGCTCCACCAGCCGCTGCACCAGCTGCCCCCCGTGGAAGACGGCCCCGTCATCCGTGCTGAGCGCCTGGACCCTGAAGCCCAAGGGGCTGCGGGCGTTGCAGTAGAGGACGTTGGATCCGTCCTCCTCGTCCACAGAGACCAGCTGGCACTCGCCCGTCTGCAGGTTGGGGATGAACTCCCCGAAGCGCCAGCCGCGGCCGTGGTCGTCGCTGTAGAAGGCGAAGGAGTGCGGGGTGGTCTTGCAGAGCTGCCCGAAGCACTCCTTGCAGTCGATGTGGTAACTGTAGGCAGGCACCAGCAGCCGGCCCGAGCGCAGCTGGATCCCGTGCCCGGGGCCCAGCGCGAACGTCGCCCAGTCTGGGGAGCGGAGATGGACGGGGTGAAGGTGGGATGGGGTAAAGGGTGACCCCCACAGCGCCCTGCCAGGCCCAGTGTGGAAAGGTGCCCAGGGCTTCCTCCCAGTCAAGCCAAGCAGTGGGGTGGGAGGGCAACAGAGCCCAGTGCTGCCTAGTTGTCCTCACACATGCTCCCCATGGCTGTGGGGCCTCCCCATCTTCTCCCCACTCTCAGTAACTGATATGCGTACTCCCTCCATCCCTTTTCCCCTCTGCTTGAGGTCCTCTTCCACCTTTTTGGAAGCTTGTGGGATTCCTGTGTCGAAATCACCCCAGCAATGTCACGGTGCCTCCAGGAGACCAAAACCCAGGGATCCCCCCGTGCTGGCTGCTCTCCCCTCTCCTCACCCCCTGCAGCTGGGTACCTTTGATGGTCGCCCCAATGACCTGCTGTGTCAGGTCTGTGGCTGTGCTCCAGCTCAGGCCCTGGTCAGCGCTGGTGACACAGCAGAGGCGGGTGACATTTTGGCCAGTGACAATCTGGTAGGCTTCAGGTGTCCTGCCCAGCACCGTGATGAAGAAGAGGAAGAGCGTGCCCGTGAACTCATCGTAGAGGGGGCAGGGGTTCATTGACCGGTGGTGCTGCAGCGTCGCCGTCTCCAGCACACGCATGTCTTCCCACTGCCCAGGGAGGAGGAGGAGGAGGAGGAGAGGACAGAGAGGGGTGAGGACCATCCCAACTTTTTGCTCATCCCTGAAGTGCTCCTGGCTGGGTTGGACAGGGCTTGGAGCAACCAGGGACAGCGGAAGGTGTCCCTGCTCATGGCAGGGCATGGAATCAAATGGCCTTTGAGGTCCCTTCCAACCAAAACCCTGTGATTCACTCCACCCATGCCAGCCCCTCTCCCATGTGGCTGTCTCCAGGAGCCTAGCCGTGCCCCACCAAGCGCTGAGGACAGCCCCAGCGTGTCCCCACGCCGCTGCAGCCCGTCCCACCTCCACGTAGCTGCCGTAGATGGTGCCACGGCGCAGCACCAGCAGGTTGGCGTGGGCGTCGTCGGCGCTGAGCCGCTCCTCGGCGAACGCCAGCAGCTTGGCCACGCAGGGCAGGTAGAGCAGGGCAGGCACGCGGTACGTGACACCGTTGGACTCCTTCTCGAAGAGCACGGTCCGGGCCGGGAAGTGCCGGGAGCCCATGGCAGCTGCAGCAGAAGGTTGTGGTGGGCTGATGAAGGCGGGGAGACCGAATGCTGGGCATGGCCAGGGGCACGGGGCTGTTCTTGGAAGGGTTTGGGTTTAACTTGGTGGGCTTGGGTCTGGGTAACCCCCTGGGAGCAGAGGCTGACAGGTGGAGAGGGGCTGAGTTTGCACTGGCAAGTCACCACAGCTCAGAGATAGGTCAGGGCATAACATACCAGCAAGGAGGTTGACCTGGGGACTCCAAAATAAAATGAAATAAAGTGAATTTGATCTTTGTAATATATAATTTAGAATAAATTCATGCTCAGGACTAAAAAATACAGTAGTCTTTTTAATAGAACCAAGTGATGGGAAAGAGCAATATACACAGGGTGAATTCCTGTCTCAAAATACGGTTATACTGAAGGATTATTCTGTCTAGAAAATATGCCTTGAATGATAAGATAAATATTCATTGCCAGAACAAAATATTTGAAGAGATTACTGTCTAACAGGATTTCAGCAATCAGTGTATTCCGGGAAAACCTCCATTTAGAAGCACCACAAGAAAAGAACATGCATGAATATGTGAAAAAAGGGACAAAAAGAAACAGGAAGACCCACCCCAGAGTCCCACTAAGTCTAGAAATAGTATTTAAAAAATCCTATAAAATCAGTACCCTGTGAACTACTAGGGTACAGCGCTGCATTAGCCCAGACCCTGTTCACCCAGCACCGATCACCTGGCTCGGTGCTGATTTGCTTGTAGCGTTTCCGAATTTTACTTTCATTCCATTTAATAAATTCCTTTAGTTATTAAATTGACTGATCCATTTATAACAATCTTTAAGATGCTTGTCCGGGAAATGAAGGCCAGTGAGCAAAGAGCAGGGTGGGACCTGCAGCTCCATGCTCTCCTCCAGCAGCACTGGGAGGGCAGAGCCCCCCAGAGCAGCCCAGGCTCACCGTGACAGGGTCAGGGGGTGCTCCTGCTCCTCCGCTGCCTCCATGCAAGGCACCCGGCTCATCCAGGGGGGAACCTGAGGTGCACAGCACGGACAGGGGGGTCCTGTCCCTGCGGCAGCGGGTGAGAGCTGTTCCCAAAGCCCTTCCTTCAGGGACAGGTCAGCTGTCCCCAGCTTACACATCCCTGCATTTTCCAGGAGGAGATGGCATCCTCTGCGGGCTCAGCCGGAGCAGTCACGCACCACTCTCAGCTGTGCTTTCCTCGGGAGCTTTTGCTGATGCGACACCCCCGGAGAAAGCGAAGGCACTCACCGGGTCCTGCTCAGCCGGAGTGTCCCCGGTGTCCCCCGGCCGTCCCACGGAGTCAGGCCGGCTTTCCGCAGAGCTGTGGCCGCCGCCCGGTCCGCTGGCAGGTCCCGCTCCGGTGGTCACGGAGCTCCCGGCGGTGCCCGGCAGAATGCTGAGTCGGCACAAAGGCGTCCCGATGGCCCGGGCAGCGACACCTCCCTCGGAGCCCAGCCAGGGGAAGCAAGGGGCTCCATGGGGCGGGAATTGCATCTCCTGCCTCAGTTCCCCTCCTCCTGCAGGCTGGGAGAGGCTACACTTCGCTGTCCAGGGGCTCCAGCCCCTGCTCACCACAGTCCACCCCGCCGTGAGCCCCCCAGCCTGGCAGCTGTGGTCCAGAGGGTCCCAGGACCCCCCAGGCTTCCATGGACCTCCAGCCCTCCCGGCCTTTCCAGGATCCCCAGCCCTACCGGGACCCCCAGCACCTGAGAATGTACAAACTTCCCAGGAACCTCAGCCCTCCCAGGATCTCCAGGCTTCCCAGGACCCCCACCTACACATAGATCAGCTACTAAGGAACCATTTTTATACCTATACTCTAATATTCCAATATTCCATCTGTATGATCAGTTTAGCTAAAAGGGCTTGACAAAATTCATAGGGCAAATCACGGATCAGAAGCTCCAAGGGGAAAACTGAGCTGGAGGCTGGAGAATTGCCAGGGAAGGGCCCCTGGGATGGCCCAGGGTGACCACGTGTGGCTCCAGCAGCTCCGCCTGGCTGCTACAAAAGCCTCGGGTTAATTTTAGTGAGGGAAAGTGCTTTTAATCTGGATTGTTCCTGCTGGACACCTTGGCTGGTTAACCCCTACCTCAGCTGCTAAACACAACTGAGGAAAATCCTGGCTCTGCTTCTCACCCCTCTCCCCCTGACAGCATCATTCCTGCTTCCTAGCTGGAGCTGCTGCCCCACATCTTCACCCCCAAGGCAACATCTGGATCCCAGATCCATCCTCCCCATCCTGCTGTGGCAGTGCCAGGAAGGTTTGTGAGGATGGCAGCACCAAGCCCAATGGATTTGGTGTCACTGCTTGTCACCTGCTCCCAACACTTCTCTCAGTGCCAACCTACGCTGACATTTTAAAGCTGGGCCAGCATCTCCTCCTGCTTGTGCTGGTCAGGGCAGCAGTAGGGATCTGGATGTACCAGTGTGCCCAAAGCTGCTCCTCACTCCATCCCCTCCTAATCCCTGCTGGAGAGTTTGGCCAACACAGCAATGGGAGCCCCAAAAAGGTGTCTGCTGATAAAGGGGATGCTGCACCCAATGGAACATCCATGCCCAGGCACCCTTGCCTGAGAGCAAAGGTCAGAACCACGAAACCCCCTCCCAGGGGAGCACAGAGTCCCATTCACCTGGTGACACTTGTGAGAGGCACGGCTTACATGCCACTGGGCAAGGCAGCCAGGCTGCCCGGCTTTGGGCAGGATGCCTGAGAGCCCCACACCAAAGGCAGCTCCTGCAGCGTGTGCTGGTTAGTCTTCACGAGTGTGGACTCCTGCTTCTTCCAGCACTGCGTCCCCTTGTCACACTCCCCTCCCCGTCCCCTAAACCCTCCAAAGTCAGTACGTGCTCCAGTGAGCTGTGACCAGACTGATGCAACGATGGATATCAAATAAAATGAAATTAAGGCAAATGATCACGCTCCTGATTAATGATTAAGAGGCTGGAATGTCTTGACCAGCTGCAGCCAGCCTGGCTCCCTCCAGCCAGGAGCAGGCAGCTGGGATCACCCAGGATCTGGATGATGCAAAGCCTTTGGCTCAAGGTCCCCAAAAAGAGACCAGCCACCAACTTGGTGTCCCTAAACAAAGCCCCCACTGCCTTCCTCTCATGCACAAGGGTCCTGTGGGTCAGTTATATGTCAGACAAGGGGTGATGCAAAGCAGTGGGAAGCCGCAGTGTGTTGCCACATGTCCTAGTTGGACCCTGGGAGCTGCATCTTCTCCTGGAGACTGGTCCACAGCATTGGCAGCCCCACATCCTTCCTCTTCTTGTGCGGGTGTTGGACAGCATAAAGGTAGGACATGTACTGGAGCTCTGGTATGACCATTTTCTGGCAGGTTCTCAGAGTCGTGTTGTCCAAGTCTTGTTTGAGGTTGTAACCCAGGATGTTTGCAGCCCCTGACTGGTAAGGCAGAAGAGCTTTATTCCTGATGTGATCCTTCCTCACTGCCTCCCGCTCTGAGAGACAAGTCTCCATGAGCTCCTTCTGCCTGGTCCGCAGGTGATCCACCTCCTTTCCCAGCACCTTGAGCCCTATGGTCTGCTCAATTCTCCTCCAGAAACTCTGGTTGAAGTGCAAGTAGAGCTTCCAGTCCAGCGAGCACCACACTTTTATCTGCTCCTCACTTTCCGCAGTCAATGTCTGGACAGTGTCCTGGCTTCTGGAATTGAGCTTGAAGTAAATCACATCATCCAGGTCCCAGCACAAAGTGTGCTTCAAGAGGATCATGGACTCATCAAAGTAGTCTGCTATCAAGATGAGGTGGAAGTTCTGCTCGATCTCCTCCAAGACAGCCTGGGTGTAGTTCTTGTCATCCTTCGCGTTGTTATCGTAGCCAAAGTCAAACCACATGATATTCCTGGCGTAGATGTTTTTCCTGTAATCTGCTGGGTGGTAATATTTTGTGGGTGATTCCAGGAATTCGTTCACATTCTTGGAGCTCCTGAAGGCAGGCACAGAGTCCTTGTAGTAGATGTAGGAAGACTCCAGCAGAAGAATGGGGTTCCTCAGGATGGAGAAGTAGAAGGTGTTGGCTGCCATCACCTTTTTTACCTATTTGTAGAAGGAAGAAGAGGTTAGTCCTGTCCCAGCCAAGTTTCTCCTCAGGTGTCATGGCTCTTTCTTACCTCCAAGGGGTTAAACCGCAGGTGATTGCACATGATGTTGTAATTTTGGCCTATGGTTCCAAAGCCCTCCACAAAGTGGGCCACAAAAGTCCTTGGGTATCCCAGGTGGAAGAGCTGGTCAGCAGGGAGGGCGACAGTGAGGTTGTACCTCTCTGCGAACCTGAACATGATGTTGAGCACAGTGCTGCTGGCAGTCTTGTGGGTTTTGAGGAACATGACGTTTGTCTTGGCATGGCACAGCGTGGGAGGGATCAGCAGCTCCTCGTGGCTCTTCGAGATTCTGCGGGAAGGTGACACATGGGGCAAAGAGACTCGCTGGTGCTGCCCCCCATCTCTGAGACCTGGCAAAGCCAAACCCAGGTGCTCCTCTGACACCACACCTGCAGATGGTCCAAGGCTGTATCTAAATCAGCCCCAACCCTCTAGCGTAGAGGTTTTCCCCCTCCAGTTTCCCCCCTCTCCAGATTCTCACTTACAAAGACTTTAGCTTAATCCCCTTTTCCCACACAGCTGGTTTGGTCCCTACCAGGCTGCACTTCGGCTAAATCAATTCCTTCCCCAAACATGGATCTAGGACCCAGTTTTGAGCCACCACCCTTTGAACATCAGCCCAAGGCCTCGTGAGAAATGAATCAGGTGTCAGAAACCAGTCCCAGCTGCTCCAGGTACAGGAAATTGTGCAGCCTTGCTTCTGCCTCACCTGTATTTCTTATTCTTCATATGGAAGAATCCCGAGAGGCAGGAAAGTCCCAGGCAGAAGCTGAAAATGATGAGACACCTGGCATTCCTGGGGAAAAAAAAAAGTTTCAGTGGATTTTTATCCAATAGTCCTTCTCCAAACCACCACATTTCACATCTTACCCTCGGGAACTTTAATCAATGTGAGCACAGTTTTAAATATCAGTTTTGGCAGCCACCTTCGGACCCCAAGCTGTGTTAGAGGTAAGACAGTGAGAAATTGCACTTTCCCTTTTACTGTCCTAATTCAGCCTTTGGCAAGACACAATGTGCTTCAGACAGAGCCTAAGCTCTTCCCACAGCCTCCTGCTCTGCTTGGCTGCCTTTTGTTTTGCTTTTCTTTTGGTTTTCTGGGGCTTTAGAGCTTATTCACTATTCAAACTCCTAGATTATTCACCAGAAAACGAGCTCTTTGTAGGGGTATAAAGACTTCCCCGGTGAGAAACCTGAGCAGCTCCTGTAATCACATCACTCCAGAATATGGGGATTGGAAAAAAACCCACTAAACTAAGGGGAAAAAATCCACTAAACTGAGGTTCTTTTACAATATAAATATGATTTCTCAAGGCAGAAAATCAAATAACCCAACAGCACGTGTAATGGTTTTATTACACCCCACTTTGAAAAGGTGGGGGCGGATAATGATGAGGGAGGAGTATTTTCCAACACTAATTAAGCAACCACGATGTATCAAAGGTTCCTTGCACATTGCAGGGGGTTGGAGTGGCATGATCATTAATGTCTCTTCCAATTCAAACAATCCTATGATACCATGATCACCAGTGTACTCCAGCTGGGACTCAGAGTGGATCTTTTGAAGGTTTGATGCCTACCTAAAAGGAATTTTTCACCAACAAGTTTGATCTGACTTCTCTCACCCTAGAAGCTTTTTTAGCTATGTGTGAATCTCATATTTGCAGACATGGCCAAAATGTAGCAGATCTGGCTCAGCCTTTACACTGTTTTGAGAAGATATAATCTAAATTTACAGCATGCTATGGTCACACTTGTGGTTTCCACTCTCCAAAGGGAGCAAAGAAGCCTTCAAGCCTTCCTCCAAGAGCCCTTCCCAAAGCCAGGGAAGACCCCCATCCATAGCTGGTACCAAGTTCTGACAGGAATTCACAGCACAACTTCTGCACAAAGGGTTTCAAGACAGATCTGCAGGCAAGATTTTATCAGGATTTACTAAATGTTTGGCCTCAGGCCTGTTAAGGGGAGGGGAGTGGGACAAAACCCTGTCCTTAGAGATGAGATGGGAGGAGAAAGCAGAGGAGCCCATGGGCAGCGAGCAGGCTACACGCAGCCCCCGCACAAATCTTGGTCTTTCATTTAAACTGAAGCTGTCTTTTATCTGATGCTTTTCCAGAGCACATCACCCTGCCTGCCTGGAGGTCCTCCCCAAGCTGACATCCTCCTGCTGCACCTTTTCTGTCGAGTTTAATGGGTGCAGTAACAGTCCATTTATTAATTTAGGTAGTGTCCCCAAAATGCCAACTCTTAATGATGTTTTATGGGGCAAACAAATCCCATACACCCAAAATCATCCTGAAGACAAATCCAGATCACAAAATGCTCTAGAAGAACTATCAATCCCTTCTGCTGCAAGAAGACAGGCTCTGTAGACCTCTGCACTTTATCACCTGAAGGCATCCCACAATATTTTAATAGTTGTTTGCTTAAATAATGGATTACATGGTGCCAGCCTGCCTCCAAATATTCAGATACATTCAGCACACCAAGCCTATCTCCAGCCTAACTGAATGCTCCCAGAGATCCATTTTGTCTGGACATGCCCCAAACCAAACAACAGCTAGATTTTGTCCCTGGAGACACAGGGAGGAACGAAGGTTTGAATTATCTAGGCCAAAACTATTTCTTCCTGGAATGGTCAGTTTTAAGGAGAAAGAGTGACTGATCTCTGCAGGACACGGTCCGTGCAGGTGCCAGTCCCCACGCAGAAATGGCAGAGGTGACAAACAATGAATTATCAGGCCTGGTGCTGGTTCCTGTGCCTGGGATGGATGGAAAGATCATGGATGGATGGATGGATGGATGGATGGAAGGATGGAAGGAAAGGTATCTGCCTTCCAGCCCAGGGAACAAGCAGAGTGGTGACATGGAGGGAACTCTGCTGCACCTCAGCCCAGCCGAGCGAGGAATGTCCAGAGGAAGAGCAAAGGGCAGGGATCAAGGGGATCCCCAGGGAGGAGTGTGGGCAAATGGAGACCCTGGGGATGAGAGGAGGGTTGCAGGTACACAGGGAGCAGGCCAGTGCACTCATGGAGTCCTGTCCCCATCACCCCCTGGGCTTGGCCACCCACAGCTGCACTCACAGGGCTGTCACTGGCCCCAGCGTGACATCCCCACACGCACTGTGGGAATAAGGTGGCTGAATAAACAAATCTGTCACAGAGGAAACTGATGGCACCTTTCCCTCCTCTTCCAACAAGCCTCCATCATTTCTGCACATCTTGTGCTTGGAAACAAATGAGCTCTTGAAATGTTTCAGGGTTTTTACTGACAGAAATCATGTAGGATCTTCACCTGGAGCATACATAGTATTTTGAACACAATGTGACTGCTCTCCCAGAAAACAGCACAGGGCCAGTGCGGGATTTGCTACAGACCTTGCTTCCAGCATTCATTCCAGAATGAGTAAGACATGGCAACTGTTTGAAATTCTGCAGAGAATGATTACATTTCAGGCACTCCATGCTTCAAATACATGTAATGGAAATTATGAGAATATCAAGAAGCATTTGGAAAATGCTCTCATGCACTTGGTGTGGCATTTGAGGCTGTCCTTTGCAGGACTTGATGATCCCTATGGATCCCTTCCAGCTCAGAATATTCTGCTAAGATCTGGTGAAGCAAAGTTCAAGAGAGAAAGTCCAAATTTGAATGCTGTACTGGAGTTACCTGAACGAGCCTGGAAGACCTTTGAGCACTACATGGGAACTGACTGCTAAGACACAAAATTCTAAGAAGCCAAAAAACCCACGGAGCACTTGGCAGGGCTGGTGCCAGAGGTGCCACTTGCCTTTCCATTTCCACCTTTGCTGTGCTATCTCCCCTCTGGGAAGAAAACATGGAAATCAACCTCTCTTAGAGGTGCAGCTATAGATGCTTTAAGGCTTGGGACCCCCTTCTTGTTCTTTTGGTTTAAGATGAAAATAACAGACATCTGCATCAAACGAACAAGGTTCTTTTAAATTAAAAGACCTGGAACACAGGCAAGAAACACTAATGGCAAAATTAATCCCTTCCCTGCAGCAAATTGTAACTAACTACAGGTTATTAACCGCTTCCAGGGATGACCTGAAGCAGAGCTTCCTGCAAAACAAGTTTTTGTTCAGCACCCCAAGCACTCAGCTCCCTCTGCCCTTACCTTGGAGCGCACCCAGGGCTTTTCATGCTGCTGCGAGCTGGGAAATATTTCCTTTTGCAAATCGACTCCAGTGCCTGTTTGTCTCCTCTGGTGCTCTGTGGCCAAGTCTCTATTTCTAGCATCCGTTCAATGCTTTAAATGTCTGGGATAGGTGAGGATGAAGGGAGTGGCTAGGTGTTCCCAGGAGTGGGTGGGAGTTAATAAATAAGCCATGAAAAGCACCGGTATGGCAGGACATCAACACAGGTATAAAGAGCTGCCTCGGGACACGGCATTTGCAGCAGTTTTGCTGGGAAGAAAAGGTTGAACCGGGATTCCTTAGAGGGGATCCCTTTCTCTCCTGGCTGCAGGAGGGAGGCTCAGCCCCCGGGCAGGGGGCTGGTGGAGGACCTTTGTCACCCTGCACAACATCACATCGCCAGGGGCCATGGTCAGTGCCTGCTGTCCCTTTTATCTGCTTCTTGCTTGGTTGGTAAGGATAGGAATTCCCTGCTGGACACATTTGGCAAGAGCAAATTGGGGACAACAGCAAAACAGGAATGGTGTTCACCTATGGAAAATTCCTCTTAAAACATTTAGACTTCAAACTTTTTGATAAAAATGCAGTTATTGTGGAGGTTAAGGGTAAGGTGAAATGCAATTATTGTAGCTGGAGGTTAAAAGCTTAACAGACTTGTCTGTATCCAGGCCTTGCGAGGGAGAAATCTTGCCCCTAAAGGGGCATTATTTTATGCTTTATCTCTGGTGTCATTAACAACTGTTACAATTTGTATTATGCAAGAACTTTAGATTCCACTGAGGCTGCTGTACACTAGGACTTAACAAACTGGGTTTGATGGTTGCAGTTTGCCCAGGGGGAGCAAAATCTGTCCCACAAGTCTGGAGGTGGGGTCATCTCCCTGCTCCCCATATTGGGATGAAGCCAATGCTCTCCTCATTTGGGCAACTTAAAGTGTAACCACATCTCCCAGCCTGGATTAGGGGGGATTGAGTCGTTACTTTGGTCTTTTGCATGGAACATGCCCTGATCCATGCACCTCCTGGTGGTCTCCTTTCCCTCCCCACACACAGTGCCACCCTTCTAACCCTTGTATGCAGCTGGTCCCCCACCAACAGCCAAATCCTCAGCGCTCCAGGATCCTTCACCTACGTTGCTACATTTCCAGAGCAGCCAAATACACAGTATTTCTTTCTTAAATCACAGCTTCCCCTGACCAGCCCCAACTCCAGCACTTACCAAGATGCAGAGATTAGCAAGGTGTAGGGTTGCTTTCCTTGAGTTTCTTAGTAGAACCTGAGTCAAAGTGCTCTTTTATGGAGAATTTCTAGGGTTACTCTTGGCATAGCACCAGCTGCTGCTGGCAGGGGGGGCACGTTTCAGCGACCTCTTTCTCCTGTTACATTACACACGTCAGCTGTGCCATTTCTCACTCAGGAGCTGGTAGAGCCCACGGATCACAAAAGCCCATTTTTTACACTTTTACAATTGATTCATTGCTCTCTCCTGGGGTGTTGTACATGAATCATCAGCTTTAGTTATGCCAAAAAAACCAAACGGTGCCAGGCACAAATACATGTCCTCATGTGGAGGTGGGCTGCTCAGAAGGAGAAGGGGCAGCCAGGTGACACAGAATTAGTGAGTTGGGGTGAGATTCACCACTCCATCCTGCCTCTGCTTCCTGCTGGAGCTCAGGCACAGAGGGAGTTGGCACCTTGCAGAATGTGGAAGCGCTGGTGGGGCAGGGCAAGGAGCAGAACTGACCTTGATGTTGTGTAAGCACCACTCAAGAACAGCTACAACATTCCTGTGCTTCGCTGATCCAAACACAGATCCATACCAGCCACTGTCAAGAAAATTAACTCTATTCCAGACATAATCCTGTACAGAGAGAGGCAAAACCAGTAGAGAGAGCCAGGTTGTTCCTGTGCCAGAAGACCACTGGTTCTAAGTGTGGAGCATTCACAGCATTCTAGTATTTAAGACTGTCTCACAAAAATTAGAATTTTGGACAAGAAATTCCTGTCACAATGATTCTTTCTAAAAATACACATACATGTAGCCACCCTGTCTCTCCCTCTTATAAACAACAGTGCACCACTATATAAAAGCATCACTGAGAACACAGAAGTAAGGTCTAGGAAAGAGAAAATAACCCTACACTAACTCCTCCCTTGTATTCCCCCAGGGAAGTGCTTTATTGTTTAATGAAACAGTAAAACTTACATGGAGCTTTAGGATCTTCAAGTGTAAGAAGATGGTTAAATGGAGCTATGCCAGAACTTCCCTGGCCACAGCACAGGTTTGTGTGTCTCCCTCCCAAGCACCCTCTGCATACACAGCTGAAAAAGATAACTATGGAAAGTTCCATTTCCTAAAAAGAGCCTTTCATGTGGAAAGTCTGTATTTTACACAGTGACGGTCAGTAGTTTAGGGGGGAAAAAAAGAAAGAATGGTGTAGGAAAAAGGCAGAAAATATAAACAGCCTGATCCGGAAAGAACTAGCTGCATCAGCCTATCCTGGCAGAAAGCAAATCCTGCATATTTCTTTTCCAACAGCGTCATGGTCTTCCCATAGTTTTTCATCACCCCACAGCCAAGCATTACAGGCTGACTGTGTTGCACAGGCTATCTTCTCTTTTCACAGAGCCACAGAATTCCAGAACTATTTGGGTTGGGAGAGACCTCCAAGACCATTGAGTTCAGCCTGTGACCAATCCCCACCTTGTAACCAGCCCAGAGAACTGAGTGCCACATCCAGGTGTTCCTTGAACACCTCCAGGGATGGGGACTCCAAACCTCCCTGGGCAGCCCCTGCAATGCCTGACCACGCTTTCCATGACAAAATTCTTCCTCTTTGCAAATGATGGCATTGTTCACTTTGCTTCACCTCAGAAGAGGACAATCAGCTCCTCTCTGACTCATCCTGAAGGATGAAGGGAGAGGTGGGGAGTGTGCCATAATGGAGAGAAAGGGTTGAACAGACAAGAGTGGAGAGCAGGACTAGATACTGAAAGGCCATGGAACATATGGAGGAATTTCTGACAAAAGCATCCACGTGGCCAGGCTGAGAAAGGTGTGAACTTAGAACTGGATCGAGAAGGGCATTGCAACACATTGCTGAGTACAAGCCAGCATCCTTAGTGCAATCTGACAGCATGCAGCCTTGTAGTGATTGTGTTCTGCCTTAAAACAGAAGAAAACACTCTTTAGGATGGTTTTTCTTCCAAGAACAAGGTTCTGGATGGAACATTTATTTCACTGCTCTGTGGAAGAACCAACATCACTGAAAAGCAGGTTGTGGAGAAGATGGTTATTGCATAAGACACCCCCTTCCCTACTCTCATGGCATCCAGTAAGGCCTTCCAAAAAAGCACACCTGAGTAAAATCCATCAATTGGCTCCCTCTGAGCACAGCCAGAGCCAGCTTATTACCTGTCCCACAGCCCATCCAGGCAGTCCAGGAGAAACACAGAATGGTTTAGGTTGGAAACTTACTTTGTTCCAACCTCCCTGCCATGGGCAGGGGACAACCTTCCATTGGGCCAGACCAGTCAAATCCCTGTCCAGCCTGACGAAAATTGTAGGAAAGAGCATAACAGGTTTTGCTGACACCCAATGCTATGCCCATGTTGACAGCAAACATACTTTTGCTGTAAAAGGTCATCAGCTTAGCGACACTATTTACCTTTAGAAAATCCCGACTCTTTCTGATCACCACCTGCTTCATTTGGATACCAGAGGGCCTAGGTTATGAGAGACACGTATCAGTAAATACGGATACGATTAACAAACACCAAGGAAACCAGAAGATTAATGACTCACTTCCCCCTGTAGCAGAAGGGTGACAATGTGGTTTTATACAACAAGCCATAAATTACAAAACAGACTTAGCACATAAAACCGAACCCCAAAACCAACAAAACCCTTCATGTTACAATAGAACAGCTCAGCTGGAAGGAACTCGGGACAATCATCTGGTCCAACTGCTTTGACCAGTTCAGGGCTGCCCTAAAGTTACACCATTGCTCAAGTGCCTCTCAAACACTGACAATCTGACAGTCACTGACATCTCTCCAGGAAGCCTGGTGCAGTATTTGGTTATATGCTCTATAAAGAAACACTTCCTAATGTCCAGCCTGAACCTCCCCTGGCCCTGCTTTGAGATCAGCATTCCCATGAGATCATCACTTCCCTCTCCATGCCCCCTCCTCAGGAAGCTGCAGAGGGGGACGAGGTTGTCCCTCAGCCTCCTTCTCTCCAAACCACACAAACCCAGAGCCCTCAGCCTCCTCACAGGTCATGCCTTCCACCCCCAGTGTGGTTCTCCCCTTCTGGAGACACTCAAGCACCTTCCCACCATCTCTAACGCTGGAGTGCTCTGGGTGAGGCCGCCCCAGTGCTGAGCACAGCCAGGCCATCCCCTCTCCTGGCCTGCTGCCCACGCTGTGTCAGGTGTCCCCAGGATGCCACCTGCCCTCCTGGCCACGGTTCCTGCTGAGCTGCTGCCAACCAGCACCCCCAGACCCTTCCAGAGGGCAGCTCCCCAGCCACTCCTCTCCCAGCTTATGCTCGTGCTCAGCCTTGCTCCACCCTGGGTGCAGAACCCAGCACTTGGGCTCAGTAATTCTGTGCCACTGGCATTGCCCCATGGTGCATCTGTGCAGATCCCTCTGCAAGGCCTCTTGTCCCTCCAGAGAGCCCAGAGCACTCCCAGCACAGTCTCAGAGTGGTTTGGGTTGGAAGGGACCTGAAACCCCATCTCATTCTACTTCTCTGCTATGGGCAGGGACACCTTCCACTAGACCAGGTGGCTCCAAGCCTCGTCCTTTTGGATTATCACTCCAGGTTATCCCAGATATTATCCAGCCAGGTTGGGAGGGATAATTTTACACCTCCCTGTGAGACCAAATCATGATTTGCTGGGAAGAACAGACTAGAAATCAAGAAAGCAGGAAAATACTGGCATGCCTAGAGCCTGCCCCTGATCAAGCAGGAGGGCTGGGATCCCCTCCCTCATCCTGGCTGCTGCTATTTCTCCTCCAGTTAATAAAATCCAGAACTGGGCCTCCAGCATCCTCTCCTCTCTGGCCAGCCTTTCCAGCACTGCAGACCTGTACATGGGACAACACTGATGCTTATTTGGGAAAGCCTGGAGGTGGCATCACTAAAGAGGGCATAGCCAGATGCTACTCTGGGCTTTGGAATAAGTGTATTAGATAAAACAAGTGAGGAAGTGTCTCAGGTTTAGCTGGGTGTGTATTAAATTACCATCTGTTAAAGGCAGAGCAGTTCTCTGCTGTTCATTGGGCAGTTTTTTCTTCATCTCTCCCACAGCCAATCCTCCCTCCAGGAGATCTCTGCTGTTCATGGCCACTGAGTGTCCCTGCATGGCTGAGAAAATTCCATCATCCATGGGGAGATGCTCTGCCCATGCAGCTTTCTTCCCACTGCATTCCCAGAGGAAGACCAGCTTTCCTCTGAAGGTGGTGTAGATCACCACCACTGAAGCTTCAGAGGAAAACTCCCCCCTTGTGCAGGATCCTGCTCCAGCAGAAGCACAGCTGGTACTGCAGGAGGACTGAGCCACCATGGAAGGGGATTGCTGCCACCACCCTGACCCACAAGGTGTCAGGTCCTATTTTGACTCTGGCAGGTTTTGTTTGTTTTTTTTTTTTTGGGGGGGGGGTCTGTTTGGTTTTTTGTTTTGTTTTGTTGTTGTGTTTTGTACTATTGCATTTGTATTTTAATTTTCCTAGTAATGAACTGTTATTCCTATTCCCATATCTTTGCCTGAGAGCCCCTTAGTTTCAAAATAATAATAATTCAAAGGGAGGGGATTTACATTTTCCATTTCACAGGAGGCTCCTGCCTTCACTAGCAGACACTTGGCTTTTCAAACCAGGACAGGAAGAGCAACACTTTCACTTGGAAGACTTGCATCCACAGGTTCTCCTGTGTCTTTGATGCTTCAGAGCCTAAGTGAGCTTCTCACTTGCACAGCCTAAGTGAGAAAATGCCTCCTTTGGCTGCTGTCACTCATAAATCAGAGCAAACCCAAGGGGAGAGAGAGTTGGAATACTCATACACACACAGTATCTTTGTGTTTAGTTTCAATGTTCAGACTCAGAAGGAAACCCAGCAGTGTGCTCTTCAGCAAGAGCAGGCACTCCCCAAAAAATCAACCACATTCCTTTACTTGTTCCATGCCGCTAACAAAATCAAGAACGGAGCACTCCACGTGCTTGCTGATCCAGTGTGCTCGTGGCTCAAGGGCAGGCACGGAGCTGGAGCTGCCCTGCTGTCCTGGCTCCTCAGCCCGTGCTCCTCTCAGGAGCCGAGGGCAGTGTCTTGTAGGGGTTGAGGATGCCTTTGGGGTCCAGCATGGCTTTGAACTGCTGCATGAGCAGCACTGCCTTGCGTGGCTTGCTGTACTGAATGAACTGCCTCTTCTTGAAGCCCAGCCCGTGCTCTGCGCTGATGCTCCCGCTGCATCTCGCAGTCCACTCGTACACAAAGGGCTCGATGGCATCCAGCAGGGAATGGCTGTAGGACTCCGCCGTGATGTTCAAGTGCAAGTTCCCATCTCCTGGAAGAAGATATTGCACAGGTGGGTCTGGGAGAAAAACCTGGTGGCCCTGCAATGGATACTCATTCCTGGCTCCTTCACGTTCTCAAACAACAGGGCCTTTGTTAGACTGCAAACTGTGCCAAA